GTCTTTGGGGCAGTAGGCGGGGGGGACACCCTGAACTGGTTGCCAGCCAATCGCAGGGCACACTCAGATGAACAACCATTCGTGCTGATAATCACACCGAGGGACAATTTCGAGTCTTCCATCAACCTGCCATGCATGGTTTGGGAATGTGGGAGGAAACCGGAATACCCGGAGAAAACCCACGCAGGCCAACACGCTGACCAATTGCCCACCGGGTCGCTTTCTTTCATTTCATTAGCTGATGTAAGGAAACTATTCACTTATTAAGCATCAAGAATTTGTGTTGTCATGGCATCGAATGCTGAGGGGTGGCGGGGGGGTCACCTGTGTCTGACGGGATCAAATAGGTCCACCTCCCGGCCCGTATAAAATGAAACATGTGTGCCAGTTTCCATCTCGTGCGAGCCTTTTGAAGCTCTCTCCCATGGAGGCAGGCAGAAGGAGATATTTGCGCTGGTTTCCTCTGAAGCTCCATTTGATCTTTGCTTATAGGACAGTCACTTTAATGTGGAAATGTGCAGATGGTCTCCGTAGCAGTCATATCATAAAAGCCAAGGTGGACTTTTTAACACACTGCCTCCAATTCAGCTAAAAGACTCGAGGTGGATATGATTTTGAAGCTTTGGGGGCTACATTTTCGGATGGGTGCTCATTTTACTTTTCATACGCTACCGTTTGGCCCGTCGGTCGTGATACGTTGACAGTATTTTTGCACAGCCAGCGCCTTGTTATAATTACCCTCTGATGCAGCTGTTCCATGTGGCTTTCGGTCGAAGCCCAAAGTGACATTTTGTCTGCTGTAATCACCCACGAGCAAGCGAGCCTGAGTTTTGACATGAAACATGTGATATGTTGCTTACTGAATTGTTCACCCTAGAGTGGGTTCGCAACTTCTGGATTTCCTCACGATCCCTGACCTGCAAGAGAAATTTGCATCGAGCGTGAATGTAAAATATGCATGACTGCTATACAATTTGTATGACACGAATCAAAGCCTGTTTGTCCTTGTCGCTGGAGGGACCCAAAAAATCATTTTTTTTTTTTTTTCATCGTTAATGTCACAACGCTGAAAATGCAAGGTTCATGATTGGTGACACAGTTTTCCAAGCAGCTCAAGGAGGGGAAAAGAATTATTTGAACACACAAAATAAGTAAACTATGTGGCTCTTTTGAGAGACTCTTGGCAATGATTGATCACGCATTACCTGACAGTGACAGAGACTCTCCACGCTTAGCTTTGTCACCACAAATACAGTTCATATGAAATTGTAAATGGACTTAAGTACTGTATTGTTTTAAAAGACAATATAGACTGTGTATCCTGCATTGACTGGGTCTAGAGCAGGGGTGTCAAACTCATTTCACATTGTGGGCCACATACGGACTCGGTAGATGTCAAGTGGGCCGAACCATTAACATTATACCATACTGTGCTATGAATCACCAAAATATCATCTCTTTCCTTTGTTTTGGTCTCAAGAAACATTGACTGGCGCTTTCATATCATTTGCTGCGTTGGGTCTATCTCGGTGACAGACTGAGACTGCTGTTTTCTTCCCCAACCAAAACAATATTGTCTTTAACTGTGATCAAAACAGTTTGCCCCCCTAGTGGATAATCCACGAATTGCATTTTGCCGCGAGAGTGGCTGCCTTCCCAGCAGCTCCTGTATTTTGTTCTTCTACTTCTTCCTTTCATAACTTTGCTGCTGAGAATTGGGAATTTCTCCATTGCGAGACTAATAAAGGATTTCTTATCTTATCGTATTTAAAATATTCATTCTGTGTCTTTAATGCATTTCTTTTCACTTTTAAATGATCCCGCGGGCCGGATCGAAATTCCTTGGGGGCCGGTTCCGGCCCGCGGGCCGAATGTTTGACACCCCTGGTCTAGAGTATGCTTGAAAAGATTTTTAAAAGCAATTATTTATTTATTTATTTTTTGCAAAAGGGCATTTTTGATTGTCTGTTCCAGCTGTGATGTTGCAACTCGAATTTTGAATCTTAACAAAAGCAGTTGCCGATAGTCGACCACTTACGAAAACTAGTTGCTGAACCAGGTCTTTGTTAGTCATGCAGACTTAAAGTACTGTTTGAGAAAATGCTAGCTGTTGTTCGATGAGTGCCGTTGTCTTGACCTTAAGGCTTCACTATAATGTGCTTGTTAAATTTGTTGAGCCCGTTGTGTGAGAACATGACGCATGCCCTAATTTTTTCCCCCCCTGGGAATTAAATTGGGAAGATGAAACCAGGCCAAATACTATATTATGGAAATTTTTCTTTATAGAGCCTAGCTTGGTCTATGTGTTACAAATATTGCAAATATGCCACTACAAGCAGTTTGAATGTCTCTTTTCTGTCATTTTGATACTGCTCCCATGCTCAAACGTTCTCCGTCCTTTAATGAAAATGGAGACAATCAACAGTTGTATCAAGTACAGTAGTTGATAACCTCCAAAGTTCCCTGGGGCGAAGAAAACGTCACCTGCATTAAGTAACTGTCCACAAGGGGGCGCTTTAAGCAGACATGGCAAAATTGTGGTCCACTGCAACCCTTAAATTCTAATTTAAGCGTTTAAAAAGTTGCCCTCATTACACTTCACCTGGCACTTATATCCTTTGTCAAGTTGTAAAATTCGTCAGCAGCGTATAACGGATGAAGAAAAAATAACATCCATAGAATGAAATGCACGTTCTTGCGAATTTGTTTTCTTGAATTCCCAGCCTCTTTAATTTTATTTTGTGAGTGTCACTGCACTACAGAATGCGCAATAATTGAGTGTCTGTCCCATCTTCATGAATTTGCAGTGCGAAGCGCCTCGTTATTGCACGTTTTCTCATGTTAATGTCTCTCACTTTGTCCGGCACGATGGTAATCGGACCGTCGCATCTTCACTGGCACCGCTCGTCTTTGCCTGCAAGGCATCCTGCGACTTCATACAAGTGACACCAAATATGCATTTATGCATCACACGATTGCGTCTGTTGCGTGTGTTCTGCTTGATGCTTATGTATCGGCCGTTCTCATCTTTTCTCCATTGACGGGAGAGAAAGTTTCCAGGTTGGCGGGTGGTGCGGCGGGGGCGG